GGGGGGGAAAAAACCAGGGGCCTCCCGGGGAGATTTTTGGGCCTGGAAAAAAAGGGGGGGGGGCGGGGCGGTTCCGGGGGGAAAAAAAGGTTTTTAAAAAGGGGGAAAGGCCCCCGGGGGGGAAAACCAAATTGGGAAAAACTTTTTTGCCCCCCTTTGGCAAAAATGGAAAGAAAAATTGGCCCCCGGGGTTTGGGCCCGGGGGAAAAAATTTCCTTTCCTTTGGGGGGGGGGGGGCAAAGGTTTTTCCCCTTAAGGCCCAAAAAAAAAAAAGGGCCCCCCCCCCCCCCCCCCCCCCCCGACCTTCTAACGAACCCCCTGACCCCAGGTCATTGGGGTGGTGATGATGACATCAGCGATTCTGTACGGCGTGGAGCGGGGGCTCACGGATGGCGAGGGGACGGGGGCTTTCAACGAGCCGGGGTGGCAGTGGCACGACGCCTTCTACTTCACCATCGTCACGCTGTCCACTGTCGGGTAAGCCGAGCGAAAAAATGGCGGCGGGAGGGCGGGGTGTGTGCCTTCTTCTTCTTCTTCTTCTTCAATGGGACTGCGGTCATAGGCAAGGCCCCCAGGCAGACGGGCGAACGCGAATAGGGGGGGGGGGGGGAGATTCGGTTTGATTGGGGGATGATGGTTGGGTGGGAATTTTCAGAGGACCAATGCAGAGGACCGTTCCCTCTCCCTGTTAAATCTTTGCCGAAGCAACCTCCAGGTGAAGCTAGCGCCACCACCACCAACCCCCCTCCGATAGACACACACTCACGGAACCCCCGCTTGCCAACTTGCCGACGCTTGCCGACGCCCACGACTTGTCTTTCCGTTAAAAGCATTGTACACCCTCCTGGGTTATCTGGCAAACCTCGCTGTTGTGGGTTTTGTCTGGTATGGCAGTCTCCTTGTTTGGGTGGGTCGCTCCTTGTGTTGTTTGATTTTTCTCTCTGTCTGTGCGTACAATAGCCCTTTGTTTTTCTCGCGTCCCTTCTCTCTCTCTCTCTCCCTCTCTCTCTCTCTCTCTCTCTCTCTCTCTCTCTCTCTCTCTCTCTCTCTTGCTCTATTTATCTCTCTCTTCATCTCTCCCTTTTT